TTTTCTTTTTATGGAAAAAAAATATTCTTAACACATTGCAAAAGGAATAATAGTATGTGGACTCTAATAAGAATTGAAAATAAACAAACAAAACCAAATTTGAGTAATATCTGTTGCCTTTTTGTCCCAGCTGAGATCATGAAAAAAGGCGATTACTAAGTTTATGTTACATGTAAGCAACCAAAGTAAAATAATATTTCACCCAAACCATCTATCGTATGCTTTATCGCCAGTTCACTGGCTCATGGGATTATTCCATACATCTGCATTTACCAAAACAGCCTGTTGTTATCTACTCTTTTTTGTCAACAGATGATTCTTTAGATTACCAGAGCTCTTCAGAAACAAAATGCAGAATTTTTCCATCCACTGATAAAGCTTTGCAGCAAATGGAGGGGACAACCGTAGACCCTGAAGGTATCCCTGATGACTTGATAATAATAAGCTTCTTGAATGCCGTTGCTGATCAAAAGTGTTAGATTTGTACATTAAAATTGTCAACATCCTTTGAATCTCTCTTGGCTTACGTAAGTGTGGATGAACGATAGCTACAATCAGGGACGTAAGTAGTTGACACACTTGTTTAAAATGGCTGCTTTTATCAACAATTTCATTCATCTATTATTTCATTCCTTTTAAATGTCGTAAATCCACTCACCCCAAAATCAATGTTGTCTGAAGTAAAAGAAAGACTTGAGGGTCCAAAATACAACATTGATTTTGGGGGAAAGGAGTTGGGGTTCAGAGGGGAAGGGAATAGGTATGTCCACTATGCAAAAAGGGGTCATTTATGGGAAGTCTCGACCTCAACACTTTTGTTCGTCATTTTAGCTTCAGTTGCATGTATACTTACTGCTAAGGCAGAACAGTGGGCTTCAGTCTGCCTCAAACTGGTTTAGGATTTCAATTTTTCTCCATAACTTCAAGAAAATTTCAACTTCTAGAGTTCTCAAATCTCCCAAAAATATTGTTTGGAGGGAGAGAGAGAAAAGAATAAAGAATATGTGGCATGTGAGAACATGTGCACATTTGTGTACTTTTCATGTAAAAATTATTGGATCTCATTATACCTGAAAAGTGCCAAAATTGCAAGAAAACTAATGAAAGCCAATTAAAGAAATTCCTTTGTTGATTTTGTTCATTTAAATATTTCAGAGGAAAGCTATTACGGAGCTCAAGCAAAGACTTTTTTGATCACGGCCACCTTTCAACTTGGCGTGAGGCCTTTCCTTTTTGACGTGCCTTGAAGCTACCAAAAGTGTATTGCTAAGTGTCTTTACTCTTATTGAGACAGTTTGCTGCAAAATATTTTGGGCATAACAACTGCCCAAGATGCAATATGTTCACTTCTGTTCGACCCCATTGTGTTGCATGTGAAACGTACTAACCAGTCTACACTGCACTCTGCAAAATAAATCAACGAGCTAACTGAGAACTATGGATTAAGCAAATAATATTATTAAAATCTTGCTAATTCTCTTATCATAAAAAACTACTTGATGTCAATTTCAGAGGATTATTTTAAATTAATCACTGCAATAGGATCCCAAAAATTATCTATATCCTTGACCACTACACCCTACAAAACAATGGAAAATGTGATTATAAGTTCCTTTTTTTTTTTTTTTTCAGCTTGGAATTTTTTTCCATCTTTACAAAATTTACAATGTGATGCAGAGCAGGTTAGCAAGAAAACCAATCTACCATCTGATCTGAGAGCGATCGCTGCCAAGAAAGGATTCTTTGTTTCTGATAACCAAGCATCCGGGAACTGTTTATTCCATTCATTATCAGAACAATTACAAAGTGTCAAAGGAATTCAAATCTCACACAAAAGAGTTAAGAAAAACCTTGGTTCAGTTCCTTGATGAGAACCCTAATCTGGTAAGTTGATGACTAGCCTAGCATGGACCTTCTGTGTCTGTTTGGTGGATTCCTCCCTTATGATAAGGAACTAAACATATGCTGTGCGCTCGAGAACTAGTGAGTCGGCTCCTGCTTTATCTTTTACTTATACTCTTATGTCACAAAGCTTGTCCTATTCTCAATTACTTCATATCACTGCTAATTACTGCCCTACACCTGTTCCTTAAATTGTATCACGCCAATAATTGATTCCTTAACTCAGTTCGACGTTTTCTTTGCTATACTAAATTGGATAAAGCTGGGATTGAACATACATACCTGCCAACTCTCCCGGTTTTTTCCGGGAGTCTCAAGTTTTCATCAAATCTCCCGGTCTCCCGGTTAGAGCACCAAATCTCCCGGATAAAATGGACTTTTAAGCACTTCTGTGCTATAGTTTGAAAATTTAGTCCAATTTTCACAAAAATTCGAACTTTTGTATTCATTGTACAGTTTCTGGGACATTTTGCACATGTTTAGTCAATGACAAAGATTGGTTCGTCATTACAACGATGAAAGTGCATTTAGATTCCATGTACTTCATGTAAGACGTCATATAATGTCATAAGGCAATTTGTTGGTGCGGGGGGTGGGGTGTTGGTGCTGTTGACATTCGGGGTTGAGGGGGTTGTGGTGCAAAATGGAGAATCTCCAGATTTTAGATCTCTGAAGGTTGGCAGGTATGGAACGTAACAAAAAAGAACTTTAGTATTATGGGATTAAGACTAGGCTCTCTCATCTTCTTTGAAACCACCCACCTCTTTTGTATTTAGTCTGAAATACTTAATGAGCTTTGACTGCAAAACTTGGAGGGTAATAACAACCAAAAACAACCATTTTAGGGCACTTGTCTTGGTGACATCGCACAAATAGCGGTACGTCATGACCGTAAATGCCTTCTGTCGCCAAGGTTAAAGGTGACTAAGGTGAATTTTTAAATCCCTGTTAACAGTATCATTTCCGTCTGAAAACTACTTTCAGAATTTTGGAGAGAATCAAAATAATAAAAAATATTCATTAACAGGGCTGCCTCAAGGGGGGCCCAGTTTATAAAATACCTTCTATTTTCTCCCCCAGGGTATTATCTGGGAAGTCATAGTGAGGGTGTGCTGTCCGGCTCTCCAAATCTTGACACTATTTCAGAGCAATAGCTATAAGGTTAATGTAAGGAGTACTCCCCAGGGTTTCCCTACGTCAAAAATGAGGACTATCAATTATTGACTTAGTAACAGCAAAACATGTTAAGTGAAGGCAGCCACATCCTCGGAGACGCAGGGGCAGCTAGTTGGAGTGATAGAATGTTTGTGGTGAAAGTTTACTGTAAGATTGATATGAGCCCTGGGCACTTACTCTTACCAAACCAATTCCAGAAGCTATTGAATTGCCTGCTTCTGACTGGCCAGAAAAAATTTCTGGCCAATCAGCGAAGAGGAACAGCCGGGTGACTCTGGTGTTTTCTTACATGATGTAGGTTTCCTCCTCGATTGCCATTGTTGAGTAGCCCATTTAACTGGGAAAGTTTCTTGAGAGAAGTTTCAGAAAAAGCGTTAACAAAGGGGAAAGTTTCACAAGCATGAAGATCTGTAATGTAATCTAGACAATGTGGGCAAAGGTGTGGAAAGTGAAAGTCGTGCATTGCGTATCAGCAATAAAAATTTACGATACCTTTGATAGATCCATTGTGAAAACTAATCGGAGATTGTTTGTTGCTTTTAGCCATACTAAAGCATGCAATTTTTTCCTAGCCTGCATAGCAAGCGTTTCCAATCGAGTTATTGCGCAAAAGTTAGAGCACGAGCCCAACTCGACAAATGCGCATGGAAACGCTTGCTACACAGGCTAAATTTTTTCCGGCTTTATTAACATTTTTTTCGAAACTGTCCTCAATAAACTTTCCCTGTTGAACACTGTACACAATTATATGGCGATCAATAAGTGTCATGTGCAGCCTTTAAATACACTTTCTAGCATAGCTTTCTACCATGTCTATGTCGCTTACTCAGAAAAAATTGAAATTCACTTGTGTGATTGTTTTTGTTTTTTAGCACGAAGGAACATCTCTGTTTAACTTTGTCTCCGGATACCCATCTTGGCGTGAATACTTACAAAGCATGGCGGAAGACGGTACTTGGGGCAATCATGTGGTTTTGTTTGCTGCAGCGAATCACTTTCAAACTACCATCCGTATTATCAGCAGTCTCGACCATGAGATAGTTGTCCTGCCAGATCATGCGCACCAACACCACCCCCTTGTGTTGGGACACATTCATGAGTTACACTATGTCAGCCTTCAGCCCAGACAAGGTAAAACATTCTTTCCAATCACAAACATCCTGGCTTTGTTTTTTGGACTTGTGGAAATTATGTATGAAGAATTTATATACACATAGCTATTTTTGAGAAAGGTTGTCAGAAAAAATGTGCATGCGACAATCCCAAAAGGTAATATGGGATATGATCAATATATACATGGTTCCGGACACTGTATTTGACGAACCCTCTTTAGTTGATTTCCTTTACCACTTGCAATCATATTTCCTGTCATTTTTTTCAAATTTCTTTGAAAAACAGTGAACTCAAAACCACCCACAATACCTTTTGGGCTTCTTGCGTGTTTATCAGTAGCAGAGGACATAGCAAGATGATGTTAATACTGTAAATGTCTTTATGAGAATGAACTTTTTTTTTTTGTTCTGAACAATAAGTTGTCCCTGCTTAATCTGAATACTAGTTGTACAAGATGTCATTCCATCGGATGTTGTAACCTTGTACTAAAGTGAGCAAGCTCATAAACCTTCTCATTTGTGTCCTTATCCTTGATTTCATAATTAAAAAGGTTTCTATAAGAGAAAGAATTAGATAGTGTTAAGTTCAAGGTGTGTAAGGGAAGCAACAAACAGCATATCTCATTATACTTTTAAATAATTGTGACTGAAATGAAGGAGTTAAAGGACAGAACTTGTCTAAATCTTTTTTTAGGACTGCAAAGATTACTCATCACTGTTTAAACTGTCAGTTTTCCTTGTTACGATCCTTTCATTTGTTATCCCTGCTTTTTTTCCAAGTCATTATATATGTCCGTGATTATTGTAGGAGTTTTAGTTGTGTTTGTTTACATGCTTCAGTTTAAATCAGAAAGCGCTACGTCGTCACTAGTCTTATCTTGGACATGCCATGTGAGACACTCCTTAAAGTGTTCATTGCCATAATTCCTGAGCAGAGAGGTACCCAGAATTTACCTCTACTGTAATTAAAAATTGCAGAGATATAAGAGAACTCTTGCACTAACCTGATTCCTTTTTCGGTCTGAGGTCACTCGCTCAAACTCCATCAGCTTGTTCAAAAATGTTATGTTCTCGACTATTGTACAATGAATTAAATCATTAGTGTTGTTATTTCTGAATAATTTCTATAACTGATCATTGTGAAGAATGACAGTTTTTTATTGTATAAATAAATAGAGTGGTGAAAAATGTGCAATTTTGACCCTTGAAATCTAGCGTGTGCTGCAGAGGAAACTAAACTCTAGTAAAGTCGGTCTGCGAAACAGTGCTGAAATCCTTGTTATATTGGTGCTGCTACACAGCGACGCAAGTAGGAAGTCAAGTTAGAATTTTAATATATCGAACGTGGGCTGTTCGCAAATCTGAGCTATCTGTGAAATGTCCATCTGTTACATAACATCCAATATAAAATTTGAAGTTCCTTTAGGGAAAATCACACATGTAATTTAATGTATGCCTCATTGGTTTAGGGCTTGAAATATGAGCTGCAAGTTTATCATTTTAATTCTTATGTTTTGATTACAGTAAACACCCACATATAAGAACACACGATTTCGGAGGTTAGGCTGATTGAGTTCTTATTTATCGGGTGCTTAATGACAAATCAGCCTTAAAATGTTGTTAAAATGTTCTTAAATTTTTATTTAGTAATACTATCCAAAACATGGTGCTAGAGGTATATTTAGCATATTTTAGTGAAACAAAATAAATAATAATATTCTGTAATTTGGTTATATTAACAAATGAAGTTATCTGACAGAAAACATAAACTTACATGTTTTGTAATTATGACACTTGTTCTTATAAAAATGGGGCTTTACTGGCCAAATTTCAGCCTGCTGTTCTTAATACATTTGTTCTTATATGCGGGTGTTTACTGTACTTTGACCCAAAAATAAAAGGTCACACATTTGGCTGAACCCATCCCTCCTTGCAAAGTTGGGAAGAACTGACTGTTTTTTTTAAGCAAGTGAGTGATTAGTCTTTTACAAAAAACTTTTGCATGTGGACCAACCCTAAGAGAACGTTTTGTTAGGGGCTATTTACGTGGATCGAGGCAAAAAGATTTTAGAACTCGAGAATCTTAGAAGGGGAACAACTTGTCATTTGTTGAATACGTGCAAGGTTGTGGTCAGGTTAACTTTTAACTGCCTTTCAACAGAGGCTCTTTTGGCTAAATCTGGCAGTTTGTTTTACTCATTTTTACTGTGAGGCTGGAAAACATGAAGCCCATCTTCCTCAATGTCTAGTTATCTTTCACTACATTCAGAAGAATTGGTGCTGTTGTATTAGTACATGCTGCTTTCCTCTGTACGTGTATCTCTAAAGTGGACCACTTATATTTCTTAACAAAACCTGTCCCAATATTATACCCTCAATCAGAAACTACCAAAATAATCCTTCAATGATGACAGACAAAACTGTCCTGCACTTTCAGTTAGCACAGAAATATTCAAACATTCAAATACTCATGCCACAAATTGCATCTCTGATGATTCAAAAAGGCACAGGTTTTGCCAACTTGTACAATGAAGGCCACGTTTTAGCTGGAACTTTGGGATTTTAACATTTAAAATTTTATGTACTGTTGAAAGGAGTGTATTACATGACTGTGAGTTTTTTTGAATGGCTTCAAAACCTCTGATATATGTCAATTCGTTCTTGCACTAATGTTTGGATTTGGGATTATTTTGGTCTTAAAAATTGGAAGTAAAGTTTAGCTGTGTCTTTATCAGATATAAAGACACTCATTAAACAATCAATTTCTGTTGTTTTTATTTATGAATTAGTAATTCGTTTTTTGAAATGAATTTATCAGTCAGTAGGTGCACGGACACAGCAAAGGAAGAAATTCAATTATTACTAACAGTACAATTAATCTTATTGGGTATTGCTGTGATATATAGTACTGTTTTAATAAAAAGCAATATAATATTCCTGGTGCTATAAAGATATTGTGCTTATTTCCAGTGCTAAATTTTACAATGTTTAGTATGAAGAGAGCCAATCTTACACCAAGAAGCCATATTTAAGTCTCATTTAATCCTAGTGGCAAAAGGGTGCAAGATACAGGTTCTGACACTTTCTTCTGTGTCTTTGCAACCTGCCATTAGTACCTCGTATTGTTAATATTATACCGTGTATTATTTTACTGATTTCCATTTTTATTATCATTAATTTTGATTATTTCTTTTTAATTCACTGATTAGGATCTAAGATAATAAGAACCTCAGAACATTCAGCAAGCAGATCAGAGGACAGTGATGGCATAACACCCCAGCTTACCACTGATTTTCCAGAGGATTCAACTAGAAGGTCAGACGGAGGTGATGGTTCTGCACCACAGCTTACCAGCCATCTCCCTCCTCGTGTAAACAAGACTGCAAGCAACACAATGAAGCCAATTAGAGGCCCTCCTGAGCTTAATAAAGTTCTTCAATCCATGGCTGACATTAAAACAATAACCAAACCTTCAAAAGATGCTGATCACCCTGTTGATGTTATTCAGGTCATGCAAGCAGCAAAGAGGAAGAGAGGTGTGGCTGAAGACTCCGATGACGAAGGTAATTTTTGTTGTTAGAACATAGGTTCAGTTATAGTTAAGAGTGGAAATGTGATCTCTGGGGCTAAAAAAAAAGGCCAACTTTAAGGGTACCTTCTTTTTCTGGGGTTGTGGGGTGGGGGGGGATTGTGTTACAGCTAGGAAGACCCTGGGAGGGGGGGACAACCTTTGTTTGGTTAATACATGCAAGGCTGGGGGGTGGTTTACTTGTAACTGCCTTTTAACATGGGCTCTTTTTAGCTGAACCACTAGCACAACACATTCTTATTATAATATTATTATTATTAACTCATCTTTAATTATTCTTTTCCTCCACTGATCAGAATCCAAGATATTCAGAACTTCGGAGGATACAACTCGCAGATCAGAGGGCAGTGATGGTAACACTCCCCATGTTACCACTGGTCTCACGTCTAGTTCAAAGAATCCTGCAAGCAAAACAAAGAACCAAAGAACCACATTGAAAAAAAAGAGAGAAAGAAAGAAAAGGACTCCAAAAGAGTGTATTAGGGACCCTCCAGAGCTTAGCAGAACCAGACCTTCAAAACATGCTGATCTTCCTGTTGATCTTTTGTTACTGACAGTGAAGAATGGTAAGTTATGAGCTTGTTACAGTGAGCTAAAAAACCCCTATATATGTAATTTGATGATCTTGGTTATGTGTACTTTTCTGATACGAGTGAAAGTCAAGAGAAAGTTAAAGTTGCATTGTTGAGATGTTACAAAAGTGGTCCTGGTGGTTCTCTTGTCTCTGTAAAGAATGCTTCCACTGTGCTAAGACCTAAAGCAGTTATATCTGTTGGTGCATGTAGTGGTCTTCATCCTGAGAAAGTTTAGATTGAAGTGGTGCAACTCACACGAGTGATAGGAGTTGTCAAACAATGTCTACCATAAATTTTTTGTGTGATTGGTTGACATAGTGAATGTGTTCCCTTCGTATTCAACAAACCGCATGGTACGCGCCCACAACCCATGTTTCTTGTAAGCTTTGTCGGTAATCGGTATATCTTGATTAAGTATTTACCAAATCAGTGAATAGCAATTTTTGCGCGTTTTGATTGCCCCTAGCCTGCGAACAGCAGATGTATTTCCGGTCGTCGAAAATACATCTGCTGTTCGCAGGCTAGATTGGCCCCCGTAACTCGGAATATCCTTGGCTATTCACTGTTTTGCGACCGGAGCCAAGATGACGTCTCGTTTCAAGACATTTTCGGAAGACGAAATCTGAGCTATAAATAAAGCAGTCGTACAAACAAATACTAAGTAAGCGACGAACTTTGGCTTGTCGGTGTTTACTGGTAGGTAGGAAAATTATTTTCTTGCTGAATTTACAGCAAAATCGTAAGAATGCACTTGACAAAATCCTCGAAATGTTTGTAAATTGTAAACAAAGTTCGTACTAAGTGGCGTTTTTGATTTACAAAGTTACTTTTTTCATTTTATTCAACTGATTTGGTAAATACTAAAACAACCACCCCTCAGGGACGGTGAACAGCATTAGATATATACCTCGACGCATTAGTAAAATCCAACTACAGTAAAAACCCGCAACTAAGAACCTACATTTTTAGGAGTTAGCCTAAACAGGTTCTTATATAAATGGTAGTTAACAGAATTTTAGGCTATTTAGGTTCTTAAAATGGGTTCTTAATCCTGGAGAAAAAACAATTAAAACACAGCTGCAAACAAGTTGGTCATTAGCCTATACTTTTATTTTCTTCAGCCCCATCCCACCCATAATGGTGTGCTGATCTACATATTGCTTAGTATGCTTTGTAAGTCTACATATCTTGCACTCATTTTTCTTTAAAAAACATTTTTACAACAATGGCAATCTGCTTTTTTTGCTTCAAATACGATTCTTGCAATGCAGCTGTAATGTACTAGTATGATTTTAGAAAATAAGGACCTGTTTTAAATTTCTTAAGCTAAATAGGTTCTTGTTTATAGGGGGTATAAATGACCAATTTTAGGCTAACAGGTTCTTAATTTTTAGGTTCTTAGTTGCGGGTTTTTACTGTAGTGGTCTGTTATCAATGCTGCGTTCTGATTGGTTGTGCTACTACTAGGCCATATGTTGTAGCCCACTAGAAGCGAAAAGCGCCGGCTTTGAAAACCAAAACAGTGGCGGCTGATCCGCGTTTTGCTAGCTAAAGTCGTTTTGTCTCGATATTTTTGACCAACTTCTTGGATTTTACTAAGACAATTATTCCTCGAGCTCTCATGGCCTTTGAGTCAGTAGCCCATTCGGCCATCACTGATTCTCTTTTTAATATTCTGTGTAAGATTTTTATCATGATACTATATTTTATCTTTTCCTGTGATAGTATAATCGTAATGTTATCAGAATGTTTAATGAAGGATTCTTTCTTTTCTCCGATGTGAACGATTTTGATGTCATCATGATATATCAATCAGTCATTTTGTCTATTTTTCTTTGTTATTATACATTGTAATCACTGTTTGTCTTCTCATTGGCTAAGAGCTTACAGCTAATTTTGGAAATCAGCGCAACCTACAGATTTATATAGTCAACTCTCGCCTTGCGGACACCCCGCTATTGCGGACGCTCGCTATTACGGACAAAATCTAGATCCCCAGCAGAAGCTTTAGTGGTTTGACTGAAAATGACCCCCCGCTACTGCGGACTCTCTCTATTACGGAATTACGGACACTTTCTTGGTACCAAAGTGACAATTTTATTGTTTTGACCCTCGATAAAGCGGACACTCTGTACTTCTCATGTAACATTATTATGTAAAATTACAGTCTACTGTTCTCCTTTTGCCAAAATACATTTCAAAAGATTTCCGGAATGTTTATTTTCACATCGATTCCTTAAATTGTCTGCACAATCGTCCTCACTTCTTCACTTAAGCTTGCGCATTTTTCTTCCCGGCTCTTAGGAGAGCTCAAGCCCTCGTGTTCCATTCTCAACGGCTGCTGAACAGTTTCGGTACTGTTGATAAGTTTGTCCGATCCTGGAAGATATTTGGGATCGTCCTGCATATAGCATAAGTAGCACATTTAACACACATGTAAGATTTAAGAAAACCTTACGAACCTAGTTAATGTTATTTATAGTATTATTATATGTTAAAAGCACTTTTTTATTCGCACCCCGTTATTACGGACTCTCGGTATTACGGACATAAAACCGCGGTCCTTCAGTTTCCTTGCGACGGTGTGTTTGTCGTTATTTCCTTCAAAACAATGTATAATACAACAATTATGTTAGGTTCGGTTTCTGAGACGTCCTTTGTAATCAAGGTTTCGGTAAGTGTTATCAGCCTCAGCCTTCGGCTTCGGCTGATAACACTTACCTCGACCTTGATTATTCCGGATATCACAAAAACCTCATCCAATAATTGTTTATTAAATCGTAAAATCACTTGACTAAGATTTAAGATTGTTAGTGGTTCATGGTTGATGCATTACTATTCTGAAATATACTTTTCCATGCTATTTTCATTTGATAGCGATATTTTGATATTTTAATTAACCACTTTTTCTAGTAAATAACGGTAAGTGATTATTTCTCCAGCAGGGCCACAGCAACAAAAGTATAAGGACCGTCGAACCGTAAGGCGACCATCAACCTCTTCATCCAGCAACGCTTCACTTGACTCGTCATTCAACCGCACTCAAACAAACGAAGAAACCTTAGGCGCTCCTTTCATCGAACGTATGAAGAAACATGTCCGAGATGTCACTGAAAAACCTTACGAAGATCTTAAATCACCTTTTCATAATCCAGGCGAAGGACCCAGAAGAGATCTAAAACTTGACGAAATCTTCACCAATTTGATTGTTTATGAAGGGAGAGCTAACTATGACTTTTCAGGAGACAGAGTGGAACAGCTAAACGAGTACCACAAAGCCAATGAAAGTTTACAACCAACACTGCCAGGAGATATTTTCGATGCTGAAAAGCAGAAGATTCTTGTTGTCGGTCGTCCAGGAATTGGAAAAACCATGTTTAGCACAAAGATTCTTCGCAACTGGGCGTCCGATAACCTTTTCAACGAAACCCAAAAATCGCAAGTCGATTTTAAAGTTGCCTTTCTCATTAAGCTGAGAATGTTTAACTCTAGAAACCAAGAACTAAATCTTCGCGAGCTTCTGGATCACTCAGAGTATTCAACCGCTCTTTCCGAAGAGCTCTGGAACTACATCCGCCACAACCCAGAGGGAGTGCTGTTGATTTTTGATGGATTTGACGAATATTCTGGTAGGACTAAAATAAATAAAGATGACATTCCGTACAGAAACAGTGAAGAGGAAAGGATGCCTGTTTATTTCCTTATGAAGAAAATAGTACAGGGAAAAATTCTTACCGGTGCGACAATCCTAACGACTACAAGACCCAATGCCGTGTCGTGTATGAAAAGTCTTGACTTCCACAAAACAGTGGAAATTCTGGGATTCTCAACTGAGCAAGTAAATAATTATGTAGAGAAGTTTACAAAGGAGGCGGACAAAGCGGAAACCATAAAGCAACACATCACCAGTAACTTAAACCTTGTAGCCTTCTGCTACGTTCCTGTTAATTGCTTTATCATTTGTAGTTGCTTGTTAGAGTTGCTTGGTAACACTGGCTTTACCAGCCTCCCGACGAGACTGACAGAAATATACTCAATTGCAGTAAGGATGTTTTACTTTAGCTACGATGATGATCAATATCGCCACTATAAAACTGAAGGTCAACAGTATTTTCTTAAGCCGTTTAAGGAACTGCCTTCCTCTGTGCAAAATGTGTTCACACGACTGGGAAAAATTGCTTTTGATGGAATTAAAAACGGAAGACTAATTTTTGAATCACACGAAGTTAACGACCTAAAGGGTAATGGCCTGTTTCACCGTTTACCTGATTTTAGAGACCGTCCTTTAGCAGAGAGAAGAGCGCAATATTGCTTTTTACACCTGACCTTACAGGAGTTCTTAGCGGCGAAGTATTTGGTGGACACGTTGAGTTCCGAACAACTGCAGAAGTTTGTTTCCGATCACATCCAAGATGGCGCGTGGAAGGTTGTGATGCAGTTTGTGGCTGGACTGCTGGCTGAAAAAGAAGGACAGTCAACAGATATTTTCAGCGACCTTCTTCCCTCAGAAACTTTTCCTTATCCAGTTGCCATCAAGATAAATGAAGATTCAGAGGAACGAATTGAAACACGGACCTGTTGGCCAGATCCTGAACACAGGTTATTAGTGGTGACGCTATTCAATTGCATGTATGAGAACAAAGCCTCTGATCGAGAAGTTCAAAAGAAACTGGCGAAAATTGGTTGTAATGCGCTTTATTTTATTCACTGTAACCTGTCACCTCTCGACTGTTTAGCATTAGTGCATGCACTTAAATCTGTTGAAGGAATTTTGGATTTTTATGTAGCCGGCAACAACCTTCAGTCGCTAGGATGTATTGAGATTGCGAAGTTGTTACCTGGCAACCAACACAATCAGGGTTTTTGCGAACTAAAAAGATTAAACCTCGAGTATAACAACATAACTGATGAAGGAGTAAAACATTTAGCTACAGCACTCACACACACTAACTGCACACTAAACAGCTTAGACCTCGGGGTTAACAACATAACTGATGAAGGAGTAAAACATTTAGCTACAGCACTCACACACACTAACTGCACACTAAACAGCTTAAACCTCGGGAATAACGACATAACTGATGAAGGAGTAAAACATTTAGCTACAGCACTCACACACACTAACTGCACACTAAACAGGTTACACATCGGGGGTAAAAACATAACTGATAAAGGTAAAAATCTCCTAAACTCAATGAACATAAACTGTAAAGTATTTATCTTTTAAATCCTTGTCTGCAATGTAAATGTTTCTCTGTTGAAGGAATTTTGTATTTTGATATAAGCTTCAACAACCTTCAGTCGCTAGGATGTATTGAGATTGCGAAGTTGTTACCTGGCAACCAACACAATCAGGGTTTTTGCGGACTAAAAACATTAATGGTTGAGTAGTTTAGCGGGATACAGTAGTTAAATGTTTAACTCCTTCATTAGTGTCTTCATTAGTACTATGCAGGTTTCAGCTTAGTGAATGTGAGTGCTGCAGTGAAGCGTTTAACTCCTTCATCAGTCATCTGGTATCTCTCGAGGATTTTGAATCCCGCTATATTACCCAAACCTCTTTAGTAATAAAATAACCCAGGAAGCTAAAAGTATCTTAAAACTAATGACAATATTCCGTTAAGTACGCTTATCTAATCTATTTAAACATGTGTTGGTTTTTCCCTGAATAGCGCTGATTTTAGTCTGGATTCAGTGGCGTTTTTGGAGCCTTAAAAAGAAGTTGTTTTTTTTTCTTTTTCTGCAAAGCTTCACAGTGATCAGGTAACTTCAAAGCAATCTCGCAGCCCTTCGATTTTCTGTTGTATTACTTTCATAATACTTTCAGTTTTAGGTGAAGCAAAATTGTTTTTGGACACTACTATGTCTTAATAGTGTACTTGAACAGGTTGTGATTTCAAAAGTTAAAAGGTTCATATGGAAAACGCGTAACTAAAAATCTCCAGCAATGCTATTGTGGAGACTGGGTTAAATTGATAGACACTGTATTTATTTTTTTGAGATAGTTGTACATACAGTATAGCTACATGTGATATATTATAGCTTTACATAGTACAATGTGGGATTGATTAACGTTCTGCGAAATATAACTAACACTACGGAGAATTGTTGTTTGGACGTGGTGGCTTTATATAGTATTGGGTAAACATAGTAACGTCATATTAACAATGTGTACTTAACAAACCAAAACAGTTCATATGTAGATGATGCTTTACTATGAACTCTGTAAAGTATTCCATAATGGCGACACTCACAAATTGATCATAGACATATATGATCAAGTCAGATAGGCATGCATACATTGCCCTGCGAGCAGTAGTTAAACCACTGCTCGTAAGGTACTCATACACTGCTACATATCATATATACATTAAGAAATTTTCCTATAGGCGTGTTATTAGCTTAATGTGATCATGCTTTCACTGATTTACAGTAAGCGCCATTTTAGAATTTTGTACATATAGTGGCTGATACATTTTCAGGTTTCCTGTTTATTATTGTACGTAGCCTTGGTTTTTAAAATGATGTTATTAAAGTTCCGTTAGACCAGTAACGTCTGCCTGGCCTCGTTCCTTGGTAAATGAAACTATTCATCCTTCAGCGAAATGCTTATGGGACAGAAGAAGCAAAGGTGGATCTAGACAGGGGGTGGGAGGGGTTGTGGCCCTATGCCCCCAATTCCTTCTTTTATTGCACGGATACTTGACTTCAGGCTAAGATATAGACTTTGTATCTAAAACGGATGGATCCAGAACTGGAAGTTTGGGTGTCGGGGAGAGGGGGTTGCTTTCTGCCTTAAATGAAGTATCTCGGTTCCTCTGCGCCGGCTAACATAGGAGATAACCATTAACAGATAAACCCCAACAAACAACACCGTAGCAAACTCTCGCAACGCCACACACTACAGCGTTAAAATCGCGTACTCTCAATTACAATATGGGATATCAAGCACAACACAGAAATACAGTACAGATTAAACTGTTACAAGAAACCCCGGCAAGAAACTTGCTTGTCACCATCGTTAGTCTGCGGTGCTGCGCAACAAATTTCTCGCAAACCAGCCTTTTATTGATGGAAACTTTATCATCATGCATAGAGATGGCTGAGTCGTGCGGTGTTCATTGTGTTGTAAAGCAAAGTATGGATTCTCCGAAGAGAAGGAAACGATCCTTCCGCCTCTATGCTCCCCATGGCCGGCAAAAGTATTTCAGTATTTTAGGCGATTTGCTTTAAATATCGAGCTCATTTTGAGAGTTTTTGGGATTATTCTATCAAACTATTCTTGATCACAAATCGGGGGTAAACTTTCATCTGCTTCGCTGCGCGCTCGCGCCCTTATTTAACCCCTCTTGGCGCTCCTAATAACTCCTCAGGCAGGTTACTTTACCCTCGGGCCTCCACAAGCGTGGAGGATTTCTGGGGCCGGGGAGGGGCTCGCAGAACCTCGCGAAAGGAGGCTGGCCCCTAAAACGTTAAGGATGAGAGCGGAGAGGAACATGGAGTAAATTGTGTAACTAGTGAGGCCGAGGGCGGGTTCAAGAGCCTTAATGGGACTTACGGCTTCTTGGCGGGTTTCAATCCTGGCTCTGAAATTTAACTGGAGGCTGAGACTACTTGATGTCCTTATTCAAACCCCGCCTAGTCCTTAGGCATCATTACTGCGCGCAGCCGATTTGGTTTGGATCACGTGGTCCGAACCCGTTTTTCAGGTCTCAGATACGTCACCGAAATTTATTGACCGAGATGGACTAGGAAGACGCCATACAGGGACTGGGCAAATTCAAACTCTGGCTGTAAAAAGGGAGGAATGCTAACTGGATGTGAAGGAATCTGGGACCGGGAAAGGGATAATTTAACCTAATTAACCTCATTTCAACGTGAGCATGGGCTTTGCATATATGACTAAATAATATTGTATTCAAAGGCAGCAATTAACAAAGGATGCCAGAGTAGTCTGTGGTATTGTAAATGAAGTTATCGTCGGGATTTCAGTGCGATCCGGCTTCCGGTCTAAACAATTGCCATTGTGACGTCAGACTAGTTCCTTCGAGCGCCTTCACCTTCTTCTGCAAGTGTTTTATTAACAAATCACCTGTATATTTCATAAGCTCTGTGTACACAATCGCACAACTTCGTAATCTAACAACATGTTTGTGAAGGCCAACATGTCTTGAATAATAATTGGACAGATTGAAACTTAGACCAATTAAAGTTCACAATGATTACAGTCTTTTGCAAATTTTGCATATTTCCGTGGGATGCCTGTGGCACTCCCACGGTAAAAATCCGGTTCGGTTGTACCCAACTTTGCAGAGCCAGCCAATAGGATTGCCTAAAATCTTTATCGATTATCTCTTCTTTCAGGCCGACCAATCAGATTGTACAAAATCTGTATCGATTTTTAATCGATTTGCTTCCTCTGAAGAACTTTGAAGTCAGAACGTTCCTTGCCAAATTTGTCGGGCTTGAGTTTTCCCACTCGTGGTTTAGGATGGCTAGTTAACCAGTGAAATCCTTCGGGATACTGGCAAGACACGAAAGGCGGCCTAAGCCAAATTATTTCTTTCCTTCATGATTCTTTTTTGTTTAGGTCTAGCTTTTTCATAAGGTTTTAGTAGCGTCTGGTTGCGGGCCATGATTTCCGACAGATTTTTCTATTCGGAGTTCACCAGTTTTTGCCGAGCACAGCTAGAGTTCAGTTATTTTCTTTTCTTATCGAAAGCACCTTGACGATGGGAGGTTAAATCGCGTAAATTTCAACTCGTACGCTTGACGATTGGCGGTGAAATCGCGAAAATATTGTCCTCGTCGATCGACGACTCGCTTTCGGCATGGATTGGACTTCTGGATGGGACACGGATCAGGAGTGGACCTTAGTAAACTTATTATACCTTGGAATCAGGGATAATCATTGGAACTATGTTAACTTTGAGACCTTGGAAACACATTGCAATTAATTTTTAACCGTATCAAGGGCATCTTGGAATATTAAACTTTCATCTTGGATTAAAACATTGGAACTTTATCGAACTTTGTAACCCTGGGTTCCACCCTGGATAAAGCAAGCGGATGTTTTGTTTTGTTTTGTTCCATTAACCTAAAACTACAATGGTTATTTCTCTTTGAAAAAGTTACCTGTGGCTACTTACTACCAAGATATGACGTATCTTTATACATATAGTTCCTGTTCAGGTTAATCAGAGAGCATTATGCGCATGTTCTGCATTACTTGTTTCCGTTCACATTCCATTTAAGGTAAATGGGTAAACCTTACCTTGATGCAAAATAACTTCTTTTTCTTATCCAAATCGGGCTATGAAAATAACTACAAAGCGATAGATCAAAACAAGATCAACTCCATTCTTGCGACCAGTGACAACTATAAATTTAGCTTGCGTAGCAGGTGTCGAAAGGAGTAGGGGATAGGGAGGAAGCAAAAAGGGGATGTGGATTGGGGAGAAATAGTAGCCTGTCACGCAGGGTACTATAAATTCAGTCATAAGCACATTAAACCAACTCATACG